GTGGTACGATCTAATCCACCCACCGTGATCTGCGATCATACTGGTGGCTGGAATTCCAAACAACTATTAATGGTTCATATATAAATTATGCATGTATTTATAGCTTTATAATTAACATTATTTTTAATTATTCTTTTTATTATATATATCTGGCACCTATTTCTATCTAATTAATATTGAAAATTAATAATGTTCATTGTGTTAAAATTGTGATGCTTACAGAAAATATATGAAGTAAATTAAAGTTCTTAAATAATTTTATTATTTATAATTTGGTAATCTTCTCATTTTATTAATTGTTTATAAACGTTAAGTCTAATATTTAATATAATTATTTTAGTTTTAAACTTATATATGTATTTTTATATACAATTCGTTTATTATATATTTCTGAAATTTGTATATGCAGGCTCTGTTGGATTCGATTCCATCTAATGTAGATTTTGTAAATTGAAATAGAAATTATATTTAAATTTATAAAAAATTATTTAAACAGGTAGGATTTTTTTGTTCGATCACATATTTTATCATGTAATTAATCTTAGACTTCATGTAAATATTTATTTGATTTAAAAATTTTAATAATTCTGATTGTTCAAACATTTGTTATATATGTTGAATTCAAGGTAACGTCTATTTCAATGATATTTCATAAGTATAATAAGAATTGTAATTTATTAAATAACATTTTAAAATATATTTCATATTTATTTTATATGCTGTTAAAATATCACATTAAAATAAAAATATCTGCATTTTCACTTTAATTTTTGAACTTGTTATTGTCTACATCTACTGAAAAATTGTTGTTCCAGCCTTCAAAAAGTAGTTCGTTATTATTTTATTTGTGTTTTCATTATTTTAAAAATATAATAATATAATATCAATATTTTTCATATATTAAAAGGGCTTTCAAGATTTATATACTTAAAGATTTTACATAGTTAAAGAATAATTGTATTCATAATTATGTATTACTTGAAAATTTTCATCGATTTTTTATATTTTATAAAAACATAGATTATGTAATAGAAATTAACAAATAAATATTAATAGAAAAAATATTAAATATCTTGCTGAGAATATATTTTTAAAAGACAAATTGATTAATAAATATATTAATTCTTTTAAAAATAATGCGTTATTTGCAATGAAAGAATCTAATTGATTTATTTTTGTTTTCTTTCTGACTTATTCATATATAAATTATTTTATTCGCTTATTCATTGGATTGCAAATTGTTTGATACATAATATAAAATTTTTTAGTAATACGTATCTCGAAGACACTTAAAATTTATGGTGTATATATAGTGTAGATAAATATATATTTATTTCATAGTAATGCAATTCAGTATTATATGTTTAATTTTCAATTTTCTATGTGGTTAGTTTTTTAAATATCCCTATATTACAGTATTCAATTTATAAATTTAGTTAATGCTTTGATTCTTTAACTTGGTTGTTTATCATTAGCTTTTAACAATGTTTTAAAAAATTATAATCTATCTATAATCTATTTCATATTAATATAAAATTATTTTTAATTATCGACAGGTATATAAAATTCTATCTATTTTTTTTGTAATATACATACACGGATTTACTCAAATAAGTTTGAATTTAAATATACATAAGAGTAAACAATTAGTATCTATAAAGAGAATAAAGCCAATTATATTAAAGCCAAAATGATCACATCGAAAATATTAGTAAGTGAATATTTTTAATGTTGCATCTAGGAGACGCCTGTTAAAAAGTTAATAGAGAAAGTGCGGTATGCCGACATCACTTGGTGTGTTGAATATAAAATTAGATTCAAATATAATATGCACGATTTGTCGTCCTTTCTCATTTACCTGCATATAAATTAGGGAAAGCTATTAAGCTTGCACGAGGAAGCAGTTTAGCTTTAAATGTTTTTAGGTTTTACAATTCATTGACTAGTAGTCACGATTATAAAGGGTTAGATATGGTTAATAAGAGATAAAGCATTTTATTTCGAAGTATGTCTCATTCAGTTTTAATTTATAAAAAGTTTTTTTTAAATAAATATCTATAATAGTATAAATATATAATATATAATAATATCTATAATATATATATAATAATAATAATAATAATAATATATTACAGTATATAGATAATAATAATAATAAAATATAATAGTATATAGATAATAATTTATATTATTATATATAGTAATAATATTATTTTTAATATAATGAATAAATGGAAATAATAAGTAATTAATTTTATAATTTTACATATCTACAAGTTTAATGTACAAGTTTAATATACACATACAATTATAAATTGTTTCTTATTCTATTAATTTTTAAATATAATTATTACTCAAAATAGAAATTATTATTTAAATTAAATATTAATAATATGAACAATTATCTTTTAACAGAATCATTTAAAAATTGATTTAATTGATTTTACTATCAATGATATGCAAACACATATTATGAATATAATTAATCATCTATATATTTTATAATTTCTCCTATTTTCTTGCAACTGCTTTAGTATTTTAAATGATTTTGTAATAAACTTTGTAGCTTAAAAACGTTAATTTTAATATTGACTCTGAAAATTATACAATGTAATTAAGCTAAAATTATAAATACTAATTAACTGATTAGCAGATTCAACTAATTATAATATTTAAATTGTTTGCTTAAAAATCGCTTAATTTTTTATTTAATTTAAAATATAATATTTAAAAAAAACAAAAGATCATTATGAGAAACTTTTGTAGATTATTCATTTATTGTAGATATTTTATGTATATATACAAGAATTTATTTAATGTTAAATATTTTTCAATTTTATTCTTTACTGTAAATAATATGCAGAATCGTAAATAAAAGTTTCTTTAAGAAACTGTAAATTTTGTTTCATACATTTTTATCATTTTTATACTGATTTTTGAGCTATAGCATATTTCAAATGATTATTTAATCTAAATTTTATAGATTATCTTTTATTACATTTTACAGCATTACAAAATTATTAAAAAATTCATTAATTTCAATAGAATTTATTTATTCGGTTAAGAAATTTCCTTATTATGATCAATACAATGAATATATTTGATATCATAATATTATTTAATAAATAAATATATATTTACTATTAACATGTATTGTAATTTTTGTTAAATTTATTTATAATATATAGATATTTATAGGTATTTATAGATATTTAATTTACGTATTGTATATGTTAATAGAAAATATCAATAATGATTTTATAATTACATATTGATTAACTGTGAAAAATTTATAATATAATGAAATTACAATTTTAAAAAGTAGAAAAATATTACGTTATTTTAATGTTAGATATATATTTAGGAGGCAACAATCTTCATTGTTTTCAAGAATAGTTGTTACTTTGAAAGATTCAGTAACTCATGGTTTTAATGTTGTAATAATTTTATTATTATTATTAATTAATTAATCGAATATGTTTAAGAATTTATATAACTTATATATATTATTGAATTTCATTTTCGAAATTTATTAAAATTTTAAATTGATTATACATTGTATTCATATTTAGATTTATTTTCCTTTTTTTCGTGCTCATCGTGAAGCTTTTTGTTATGTAACCAAACATTACTAAACTTCATTACTTCATTACTAAATAAATTCTTCTAAAAACTGAAATATATAAAAATAATGTTGAAAAAATTTTTTTTTATTATTTTATATATATTATGATTTTTTATATATATACGTTTCATAATTTCGGAATATAAACATTTTTATTTATTAATTACAATTAAATGAATTATTTTATAATATATTAAGACATACATTATATATATGAAGTGGATAAAGATAAACGAGATAATATTTATAGACTATATGTATTTGTTTAATTTTAAATAAAGTTATGGAATAAATATTATTAAATTGAATATTCAATTCTATTTCTCTCTTTACTCTATGTATTAGTTCGACTACACTGATGATGAGTAATTAATAATGTAAATTATCATTCTTGACATATTTCTATTAATTAAATGATAGAGGCTGAACATATGTGTATTGTGTTTATGTTATAAGCGATATAAAATAAAATAATTTTATAAACAGTTATAACATAGTAAATTAGTATTTAAACCTATTATATTATTTCCTATTTTTGACTTCACAGAATGAAAATGGCGTCATTAAGAAAGTGACATAAAGAAAGATCACTGAAGTGATTTAAAAAAATAGTTTGATTTTTTATACTAATTTAATAATTCTTATAAAATTTATGTTGCAGTTTTTCAAAAAATAAAATTTTATTTAATTTAATTGGTCGAATATGATATAATAAAATAATGATTTTTTTATAGTTTGAATTAAGTTAATCTTATCTGAGAATATATTGTTGGTATAGGGACGAGATAAATTATTATTACAATAATACGTTAACATTGATCAAATTTGAATGTATTATTAAGCATTAATTATTAAACAACGGTGACTAATTTATAATAATTGAGTGATTATTTGTCAATTTAATAATATCTAGGAAGTGGATAAGAATTTCGAATGAACTTATAATTATGTAATATGTGAAATTTATACTCAAATAATTAATTCAATATATTCTATTTGAAAATTTAAATCAATTAGGAATGAATAATTTAAATTTCCAACATTTTTTTTTCTGTATAATTAGTACAAGATTATGTTTGCTTGTTGTATAGGAAAGTGTATGGAACAATATATATTTTGAAGTAACTGTTCAGTAAAGCTGTAAAAACTTTTCAAGCTTTTCATGATGGATTAGTAAACAGCATTTGATTACATGAAAGAACAGTAGTAATTTGAATGTAGTAAATTATGATCATTGTGTGAAAAGTGTTCCATCCAGTACATGCGAGAAGAAGGCGAGTAAAGTCAATTGTAAGCGTAAAAAGTCTTTCGCGGGCGAAAGTGTGAGTGGGAGTTCGTCTGTGTTCTTCCTTCCTACTCGGTAGTTAGCGAGCCTTTGGTGTTCGTATCTCGAGCGAACATAATGTCTGTATGACGGCTGCAAGGATTGAAACAAGTGCTGTCGTGTTTAGATGACCGACGCCGAATGTTGGTATGGATGTTTCGCAAAGGGAGGCGGGGTTGCGGGTGGATACGAACGCTTCGCTTTCTTCGCGTCGATCGATACGCTAGATTTGGGCGCCGCTTGCCTACTCACCCCCTATGCATTCGCCCTCGCGTTTGTCGTCTACGCCAATAGTGTACGTGCCTCCGGCTTGCGAGTAGTGACGCATCTATATTATCCTAGGATTGCCAGCATCGACGTATGCGACGTGCGCTAGGGTGCCGACTCGCCCTAATCGTGGGCTAAGCTTCGAGGTTATGTCGAGGTTGTCGAGCTTCGAAAAGCGGTGGCGGCGATCTGGTGAGGAAGATATTTATCGCGGCTAATGGGTCCGAGGAGCGGGTGGGCCGGGGCCTCAAAGGTCCTGCGGCCAACCCGGTCGCGAGTGCGGCCCTTGTTCCAGGAACATCAGACACCTTACCAAAGAGGAGGTAGCTTGCTAAATCTACTCATTTTTACTTGGGCAATTGTCGTCGGAGTTGGGGCGCTGCCACGTCAGGTTGCCGCGGAGAAGAACAAAGATTGTAAGTGTCCATTATCGTTTATCTTGCTTGCTTCTACTTTTTGCTTCAAAAACGAGGGTTGCAGTTGGCTCAAGATTCACTATTTGCCTATTAGTTTCATTATTAAAATAATTATTGGTTGTATATTAAGTGCATGGATAACATTTTAAATTAATATTTATTTATACAATTTTTTAAGTTTCATCTCAGATACTTTTTCTTCTATCCCTTAGCATTTTTTTTGTTTATCATTCAGCTAATGCAGTAAAGGTCAGGGATCTTTTGAAAATAGGACAACAAAATAACAGAAGATGTCAAAGGGTATATTTGACAACCATTAGATGATTGTTCTACACATTTTTAAACGTAATTTGTCTTTCGTAAATTTTTACTTTCAATTATTCACGGATATATTTTGTCATTTAGTATAATTTTTCATTAGCATGTACTTAGTGATACAATAGTTAAATATATAATATATTTTATTTATTTACTGATATAGAAGGAAATCGTGTTATTTGTTTATATAACAGATATTTAAACAAATAATAGAAGAACAAGAAATTTTTAATCAAGTATTATTTATAGAAAATGAGAATGTATAATAAATAATTTCTATATAATGTATAGGTATTTGAAAATAATTAATTTTCGGCATTTATAATTTATGATAATGGTTAATGTTTTTTTTATAAATTATGTTTTTTTCTACCACGAGCACCTAATAATATTAAATAAAAATACTTACTAGAATATCTTTTAATTATTGGATGCAGTAACATATGTTATAATATTTCCAAATTGTATATGATTTTTTTCATTTGTACAAAAAAAATGTTGATTTTTCATAAAGTATAAAAGAATGTTATTTAATTTTTATAATTAACGAAAAGATATTTGTGTATCTTTTACAAGAAAAATATATATTTGTATATCTATCACAGATAAATGATTTCTAATAATATTAATTGCCATTCAATCTTTTTAACATATATTAAAAAAAATATGTAAAAAAAGGAAATTTATATGAAAAAGACCATTTTTTATAATATAATTTCAAATATAGGTATTTTATATTTATTTTACGAGAATCGATACAAATATTACGGACGATTATACTACTAATATTATGGTACTATAAATCATGCATGGAAAATAATTAATACATTTATTTTCTGTCTATAACTATATTATTGTATTGCCATCGTAGTTTTAGACTACGTAAAAACCGAGAATAATAGAAAATTCATAATGAACTAAAAAATAATTAAGGATTCCTAAAGTGTGTATCGATTATTTATAAAGCGAAATTAATATAAAAATAATATAAAAGATAACTTCATTATATGTTAACTAAAGCAATTGCTTCAAGTATTCAGTACTTATAGGGAGAAATTCCAGGGAAGGACTAAATAACAAAAGTAAAACCAAATGAATAAGGACAATATATATTTTGAAGAATAATGCTTTTTGACACCATTTAATTACACGAATCGATTGAATTACTGTGAAAGTTTTTTATATTATTATAATCCTATATTCTTCCTTGCGATATAAGTTATTCGTAACTATTTTTTGAACAGTCATTTACGATCAACTTTCATACAGTTTGGTCATTATTCTTATCTTCATGATATATATATTTTTGGAAAGTATATTGAATTTCAAAGTTTGCTTTACCAAAATATTTAGAAATATCCAAATTTTATTATAATTAAATAATCTTGTTTATCTCAAAATATATTGCACTTTAAACATTTGATTTATTTTTTGATGATATTTAAATACACGTGTTATTTTATCATTTTATAATAAAAATTTAATCATAAAGAATATTTAAAGATAAAAATATACTTTATATTTATAAGATTATAGCTTATGTGTAATATTGAACCAATGTACAGTCATCTATTCAATTTTTAGTAATGCATATGGTTATGTTTAGAATTATATTTAGTCTATAATGAATATGAAGTTATGCACAATCTACAATTAATAATATAATGAAATGATGAAATTTTCATATAATGCTGCTACTATCACTAACTATTCTCTATATAATATTTTTAGATATTATTTTATGAATAAACTATATGCATGTTCCAAAAATCAGTATTTTCAACTTAGTCATAATTTTCATTGAAATGTGTTAAGCTTTTACTAATATGCTATACTGGTTTACAATATTTTAAAAGTAATGTAAAAATTCGAACAAATGAATATTTTTATTTTATATTGACTCCTTATATATCTCATGTATTATTATAATTGTGTATATTTACAGTGAAACATTAAAAATATAATAAGATAATAAGATAAAATATAATAATAATAGTATGATATAAAATAAAAAAAGTTTTACCATTTTTCATTTTTATACTAAATAGGGTTTCATAATTACTTAATTGATATTCTATATACAATTTGAAAGAGTCAGCGTTATAATAACTAAATTCTAATTTAAATGGTATTAATATTATTTAGCGATTAAATAATTTTATAATCAATGAATGATTGATCAAATTTCTTCAATCGTATAATTTAAATTGTGTTAATTTATTAAATATTCAGAATTTAGATATTTGATAAACATAATTCTATTAATAATCTTCAAAGATTAGAAGAATTTGATTGAAAGTTATGTTCAATTGAAATTGGTATTAAATATTTAATTAAAGTGTTAAAATACATTGTAGTAAAAATCTGTCAAGAAAAGTATTTGCAATAATAATAAAAATACATTTTATCCACTTTTAAAATGATATTTTATATTTCATTCCATGATTGTAAATATATTTTGAAGAAATTTAGTTATTACATGAAATAATTGATTGTATATATATTTTTTAATTTCTGTCAATTATGTAAATAGCATAAGTTCCCGGAATAATATATGTACAAAAATCAATTAATCTCTAAGCTCATTCAAATTTTTATTAAAAATAAAAACAGAATTAAAATATTTATGGCTATTTTATATTTATTTCATTTTTTTATATTGGAATAATTTAATCAACAAATTGAGTTTTTTTTCTAATATAATTACAAATATAATTTAACTATTATATTTAAATATTTAAATAAAAATTTTTTTCTTTCAAGTTTTTAATTTTTGTTATTATTATACATTTTTCTATTTTTTACTTTATTTTTATATTTTAATACATCTACATGATAAATATATTGATTATTGATTTTAAATTTTCTTCATTTTTTGTTTCATTTTTGATATATTGTATATTGGAGTATTTTAATAATTAAAAGGATATAAACGTGACCATATTTTATTTTAATAAATAAATGAAAATAATAAAAATAATAATAAGAATAATAAACATAATAAAGAAATTTTTTATTATTGAGATTTTTGATATCTTGGATACTTTAATAGTATCTTAAAATTGGCTCTGAATAAAATATTTTTTTACTAATATTATTTTGAAGTAGATAAATTCAAGTGTTAAAGAGAAATGTGAAACCTTTTTCTGTAAATTCTTCTTGTAAAAAAGCCTGCAATCTACTATAAGTACTAAAGACGAAATTGTTGATGTAATAATTCCCTGTAAGCGCACTGAACATTGGGATGCAAAAGCTAATTCTTTGCCTATCTGAACATCGAAGAACCTCTGTCTGAGCGTGGAATTGTGGAATTCATACTATTAAATCAACGCCAAGGATTTAAAGATACAATTTCTGTTCGATTGAATTTTTGGAATGATAAGATACAATGGTAACAAATATCAATAGTAATAAGGATTATTATCGTATTATTAGAAATTAATGTTTTAATTCATATGAAATACTAAGTAATGCTAAAATAAAATAGAATTTATGTATAACGGTTTTGGTAAGAGTGGTTGACATATATTTTATCAATATTTAAAAAATATAATTCTTAAACTTGTTTCCTTAATAATCCATTTTTTATGTTGAAATACAGTATCAAATATCATATTTAATAATTAATAATATTTTACTCTTTTTTAATGTTCACTCATATTCTAAACAAATTTTTTAATTTTAATTACAACATTATAAAGAAAAATATTTATAATTATAAATTTAATTATATTATTAGTTAGAAGACAGTTCATTTTTATGTTATTATGAATGACATAATTAAAGTACTTAACAATACAATACTCCATGAAAATAAAAAGTCAATACTCGTTATTATTATTTATTTTAATCAGTATTATTATTAATAATTAAAGTTTAATAAAATATTATATTAACATATCTATCCAACGGTATTATGGAAAAGTAGTTATATCAGTTCTGTAGTAGTTATAAAGAATAAAATGTTGAATTTTATTTTCATTCATTAGAGATAAATGTGAAAGGAAATATTTTCCTTTAACAACATTTCTGTATATTTCAATAAAAACGATATTTCTATGATTCTATGATAATAACACTGTATATAATAACACTATATTTATATATAAATCATTTATCGCCATGCCTTTACAATTTTTGTGAAAGGATAAGTGATTGAGATTAAGTCGGCGGATCGAATTTCATTGCGTTATTACATTTTGATGTATTTTCGGAAATTTTTGGAATACAGCGTGCTAAAGATTCGTGATAAAAAGGTAGGGGAAAATAGCGAATGACCAGGGAAGTCAAGGGATGATACGTGGTAGATCCAAATTGTTCAACTTAATATGGCTCCATTATTTTCCGGTAGTGGTGTAAATTTATAGCATTGAGAAAAAGAGAGCAAAGTAAAGCAGTATTTCCTTAATGCTTGCATATATCTAGAAATATCTTTCATATAAATTCTTCATTATAAAAAATATATTTATTATAAGAAAAATGTCGATAAACATATGCACATTTCAATATCATTTTATTTGAAGTATCAAATGTAATCTTAATTTGATAAAAATAATATAGATATTTTTAAAATTCCCAAAATTAGATAAGATTATTGATTGTCATAATTTTCTATTTTACTCAAAATTTTTTATTTGGATTACCGTTATTAATCTTTGTTAAATTGGAATCTATTCATTTGA